AGGCAAAATGCTCAGTGTGAACCCAAATATCAGATGGGGGAAAACTAAATAAGGTTGGGATGCATAATCATGTAATACGAAAGGACGTGGGTCATAAGGAATAAGAATAGACAAAACATCACATACCTGAGAAATAAAATCCAAGAAAGCCAACAAGGACTGAACAGAATCCTCAGGTAGGGTTTGGGAAGGCACTGCAAAATCATCGTCAGCCTGGCCAGACTCAAAAAAGCTCAGGAGGAAAAGGTGCAACACCAGGAGACAAAAGTTGTCCCATATAAAGCTCAATCTCCCTGTAAATAAAGGCTGACAAATCCCCTGATGAGTCGCTTGCACCTACGGCCTGAAGTATGGCATCAGACAAATGAGATGTAGTGGAAGTGGTAAAGTTAACTTCGGAATTCATGCTTGATACAAAACAAACAAGCAAAAATTTTCAGGCAAAACACGGGTAAATCAAACACTTTCAAAAATAAATTGAAAAAAAAAATTCTTGAAATAAAGTAAATTAAATTAAGTTAAACCATTTTGAGAAGCAATGAGCAAACAGAAAGACATCTGAACTCAAGCACTGCCAAACGAGAAGTGATGGTTCAGTAGTGTCGCATAGAGTGATAGTAGTGCTCTCCTACTGGTGAAGAGATGATGCATGTTGATTTGCATGAGAGATATGTTGGAATCTTTGATTCCAAAATGGGGGGTGCAGAAAGCTTGTGGCATGCATTATAAAAAAATTCAATATAGAGGACAGCACTGTTTTTGCACATCACAAAACAACAACAAACAGGTGGGAGTAAAATCCTCAGGTAGGGTATGGCATCAGACAAATGAGATGTAGTGGAAGTGGTAATGTTAACTTTGGAATTCATGCTTGATACCAAACAAACAAGCACTGGTACTTGATTAACATATAAAAGTTTTAGTTAAGACATCTGATAGTTAAACTGCCTAAACTCAGTCAGTTAGTGCACAGGATTTTCAACCCATGGCTATTCTTGAATTCAAACCACTTCTGGAACCACTGCTTGTAGAAAACATTACCATATTTTGATCAAAAGTAAAATAAGAATTACATGCACCCCAGGATTACTTACTTAACTATATGAATGAATAGAATGATGGGCATCCAGCTAGTTTTCTTGTTGACTGACCCAAAAAAACAATTATAACAATAATGTATAGCCTATGAAATGTTAACCCTCAACTGGTAGGGTGGGGTCCGAATGACCCATGTCGATTTTTCAAGTTCATATCCCAACTCAGCTAGTGCTGCTCTCTACCTGATATTTTCTGTACTCTATCCTTAATCAGTTCTTAAGTGTTGAGCAGAGTGTATGTGCTGTCGCAGTTCTCTTTCTTACTGTTGTAATCATTTGTTTGCCATTTGTGTGTAATTCTGACCCCACCATATTATAAAGACAATATTTCTGAAGTTTATTCAAAAGGGTCATTTTTAATCCAACCTACCATTTATGATACAAATAGTTTAGGCTACCAGTTGAGGGTTAAGGAGAATATTTACAGTCATTAATATCTGCCCTTTCAAGAAGAAAATTAAATTTTATATGAATGTCTAGCATATTGATGTAATTTCAAGTTATGATATGCACATGCTAATGGAAGACTCACTTTGAAGGAAGTTTTCTTTTTTTCTATAAGATTATGATTATCTAAGGTAAGTGATGGATAAATTAAAATTACTATGTCAAATAAGAGATTCATCATTTTAGTTGATGTTAATATACTTCAAGAATAAAACTCAGCGTAACTAATCCTACAAGTACAATGACTAAACAATATCCCATATATGGTAACCCAGAGTTTAAGAAGAAAAAAAAGGGGTGAGATGCAGAACCATTACCCTAGGGACTGAATACTTTATTTCATTGTATGACACATATTAAACTGTTGAGATGCAGAACCATTATGCTAGGGACTGAATACTTTATTTCATTGTGTGACACATATTAAACTGTTGAGATGCAGAACCATTATGCTAGGGACTGAATACTTTATTTCATTGTGTGACACATATTAAACTGTTGAGATGCAGAACCATTATGCTAGGGACTGAATACTTTATTTCATTGTATGACACATTAAACTGTTGAGATGCAGAACCATTATGCTAGGGACTGAATACTTTATTTCATTGTATGACACATTAAAACTGTTGAGATGCAGAACCATTATGCTAGGGACTGAATACTTTATTTCATTGTATGACACATTAAACTGTTGAGATGCAGAACCATTATGCTAAGGACTGAATACTTTATTTCATTGTGTGACACATATTAAACTGTAAAATCTTAAAAATCCAAGACAATAATCTTCCATCATTATTCAGACAGAATGGTTAAAGTTATACAACAATGACTGGTTTTCATCTAGCTAGTCAAGTAAACTGCGTAGATAAGAGACAGAAAACATGGGAACAAAATCTGCTGCTCTGACTGATAAATTATAAATCAGAATAAGTTTCTGGTTACATTTTACCATCTTTCTTATCTGTTTAAATGAATATGCTGTTTTATTTACTTTATGATCACTCTGAAAATGATAAATCTAAGCAAAACAAAGGTGATAGTATTCATATTATGAATACCATAAAAATACATACATCTCACGGCTGAGTCAATGGTGGAAAGCCTGTAAGCAGCCAGAGAGGAAATTAATAATAATGAGTTACAAGATAATAAATAGGCAGTTACAGACTGTTCATTGTGACAGAATGCAGATATAACCCCTGGTGCTTTCAATTAAAATTAATGGTATATAGTTCCAAATTCCAAAAATTTAACAAAAAACTTCAGAAAGGCTTGGAAGAAACTATGGACTCCAAACATATAACTTAATATCCCATTCTACAGACCCCCCCCCCCAAAAAAGACAAAATTATATTTATTTTTTAATTTGTTAAAGCTAATCACAAAAATTCCTAATTTAGTAACTCTTATTTTTTTTGGTAATTACAATAAACATAAATCAATATAATGTTTAAGTTTACTCTTTTAGATAACCTACTTCAGAGTCATATAAAAATAACATATTCAATGGGTAAATGATGCAGACAAATTTACACTAGCAAGTTGGCCACTGTTTGTAAAATAAGCAAAATTTATAGAACATCTTTAATTACTGTCCTGTTTTCAAAATGCAGTCGCACTCTGTCTGAGAACCGAGACTGATTTAGAAATTGCATTTCTTAAATGTAATTCTAACTTACAAATAAATATTTCTTCACAAAATTCAAGAAAAGATGATTTGGAGTTTAAAAAATTATACATATTATATTCATTATTAATATGGTGTAAGAAAAGTAAATGGTAAAAATTATAGTTTTTCATTAACAGTTTAATAAAAATAATAGATAATATAGTTAATGTACTATAGTGTGGCTTTCACCAATGTTTTAATGAATATATTCCAACAAATACTAAGGATGTGTTTTCATTAACCCTCTTTCTTTACATCACAAACAGATCATGCTTGTAAATTGTATAAAACAAATACTTAAAATCAGATGTACATGTAGAAGTCCAAATCTTTTATTAATATCAGTTTATAATTCTGATGTACTCTTT